CCAACAGAAGGCTGTGTTGCATACCTTGAAAATCTGTCGTTTATTGTAACTACCTCCCTTAATTATTATAGCTATATCTTCTGGATAACTTACTGCAGCTTCTACATAAGCACATGGTGCTTCACCTTGGAGTTTGATGTTATGGAGCCACTTTGTTCCTTAAGCCTCATGAACCAACCTCTGCTAGCTTCGAACTTTTATTTTGCCATTTCCTCACTTTTCTCAGCCTTCATAGCAGAGAGTTAGGGCATTGCTTTGGATTAGGCTTTGGCGTAAGGGAATGTTGTAGCTGGTTTGATCATCTATCCAGACTACTAAAACCTTCTCCATGTCAGCAATAAGGCTGTTTTGCTTTCCTATCATTCATGTGTTCACTGGTGAAGCACTTACAATTTCCTTCAAGAATCCTTTGCATTCACAACTTGGCTAACAGTCTGGTGCAAGAGGCCTAGTTTTCATCCTATCTCAGCTTTCTCCATGTCTTCCTCACTAGGGTTAATCACTTCTAGCTTTTGATTTAAAGTGACAGACGTGCAACTCTTCTTTCACTTAAACACTTAGAGAACACTGTAGGGTTATTGCTAATAGGCCTAATTTCAATACTGCTGTGTCTCAGGGAATGGGGAGGCCTGAGGGGAGAGAGGGATGGGAAGAACAGCCAGTTGCTGGGGCAGTCAGACCACCCACAACAATTATCAATTAAGTTCACTATCTTACATGGGCATGGTTCATGGCACTCCAAAACAACTCCAATAGTGATTTCAAAGATCACTGATCACAGGTCACCATAACAAATTTTGTAATAATGAAAAAGTTTGAAATATTGCAATAATTTCCAAAGTATGACACTAAGACATGAACTGAGCAAATGCTGTTAGAAAAATACCACTAACAGACTTGTTAGATACAAGGTTACCATAAACCTTCAATTTGTAAAAAAAGCATCTGTGGAGGGCAATGAAGTGAAGTGCAATAAAATGACGTATGCCTTTATTCCCCTAGTTTCATTTATATTGAAATAGAAATCTAGGTTTCCACAAACTTCAATACAGGTTTTGAATCCTGTAATCCATTTGGTGGGGGAGAGGGAGTTGGACAGAAGACATCTGACTTTACTCTCCCCTCACCATTTCAAATGGTAAAGCTTCTCTTATAATTACTTCTTCTTTCCCAACTACTGATCCTATTCCAGATACTCATCAAACCACATAATTCTCTTAACTGGTTTCTCTGCATTTATCCAATCTATTCACTTCCAAATCCATCATAGATACTCTGTCAAAGTGGAATCATATAATACCACTGTCACTGTGTCACATTTCTGCTCAAAAACCTCCTGGATGGAATCATAACATCATAATCACAAGGAAAGATGGGGGAGGGGAGTCAGAAAATATTTAATTCAACCTGTCAGTAACTGAATGAGGTAACGGAGGCCTAGAAAATTACCTGACTCACCTACAAGAGTATACTAAATAAGGGGCAGATCCCAAACTAGAAATTAGGTTCCCCAATTACCATTCAGTACTGAGGATGAATAAAACAAACAAGTATAAAAGCCGCAAAATGTCTGTCAAAAACCAGTATACACCAGGTTCCCTTAGGAAAAGTATTTTCGTAGTATTAGGATTAGTTGGAGGTCCATTAACACTTATGGAGCGCCCCATATGTGTGAGCTATGTCCCTCAATGAGTTCAGAGTTGTAGAGAAAAAGGTATAAAAAAAAACAGATAAAATGTAGTTCTATGATAGAAATATGCATAGAGCAAAGAAAAAACACTTAGCTCAACCAGTTGAAGGTGAACTTTAGAATCCTGCACAATAAGTGCAACAGATAACATGGTAAAGAGTTAAAGAGCTAGGGTAATAGCAAATATGAAGGCATGCAGTCATGACAGACAGTAGCAGCTGCAATTTATTTTTTCAGCTTGGCTGGTGAGTAGGGTAGATGTGAGGAAGCATGTAAAGTTGAGGAAAGAGAAGTAGAAAGGTACTATATCATATGATGTAATTAGTTTGCTGTTTTTATCCTATCAATGAAAAGAAGTGGTAAGACTAGACTTGCTTTTTAGAAAGATCATTCTGTCAACAGCATGGATGCTGAACTAAAAGAAATTAGGTTGACAGCAGAAAGACTGCTTAAGTAGGATCTTTCAGTAATGCAAACTGAGACAAGCATTGGTAGCGTCATAACAAGTAAGAGAAATTTGCTTAGGAACATTGGATAGAATGCAGTCTTTAGAAACTGTAAGATCTCAGTTCATTCCTTATAAGCTCTGTAACTTAGGTCAAACCACTTAACTTCATTGAGCCTATTTCCTAATCTCTACTATGGAACTGTAAAAATAGAGATACCATCAACACAGTGGTTGCTGGGAGGGCTTAATAAGATTTATGGAAATCAGCAAACACATAGAATAATTATTGAATAGGTACATGAAAAATATTAGTTCTCTTTTCCCATTTCTTCTTCCCATGGAGCCAATTAGATAAGAAGATGGAAACTATAGAATGATATCCAGGTGTCTGACTGGTCCATCTGGGTAGATCAAAGCCCTGTTAAACTAAAAACAGAATACAAAGAGAGAAGAAGAAGACTGGCACACTGCATTTAAGATACCTGTTGGACATTCAGGTGGAAATGTCTATTTGAGTGATTAGATAGAGAGAGGACTCCACTTAGGAGAGAAGTCTGAACATGAAGGTAGCTAGCTATAACCTTACGTATACTTCTTTAAACCTCACACTGCTCATCTGTAAAATGAAGAAAACACCACCTATCTTACCTATTTCAAAAATGGGAATAGTATGTATATAATCCTTTACATACATTCTTTAAACTGTAAAACATACTAAATCATGGAATAGCATTATTAAAATGCAGTAAATCAATTAATAAATAAATATTGAGCATGTAATATTAAATAACCTCTTGCAAAACACATGATCAGAGACAAAAAATCAAACCAAAATAAAGTAGCACCATCCTAAATTCAAAATTTACTCCTTGTGGAGATTTGGTCTCCCAAGATTTTTGTTTTGGTAAGTTCAAGCTAGAGAAGAGATGAAAGAACAGTACAATGAACACCAATACACCTTTCACATAATTCAGTAATTGTTAACACTTTGCCAAACTTATTTTCATGCTCTCTGGCCTTATACACACATTATTTTATTTTTGAAACATTTGAAAGTAACCTGTAGACATTATGAAACTTTACATCAGTATTTAATCTTAAGAACAGGGGCATTCTCCTATATAACCACAATATCATTATGACATTCAAAAATTTAATAGTTGACACTATATTGCATCTAAGATACAGTGCATATTCAAATTTCTCCAACTATCCCAATTGTCCCTTTACAAGTATATGTTGCTTTTGTTGTTCTTGTTTTGGCTCTAGATCCACTTAAGGGTCATGCATTGATTACATTTAGCTGTCTTATCTCCTGTCTCCTTTAATCTAGAATAGTTCCCCCACCTTTTTTTTTCTGCTTTTACTTGTCACTAACAATTTTAAACCAGGTATTTTATACAGTAATTCACCGTTTGAATTTGTCTGATTGTTTCTTCATGATTAGATTCATTTAAATATTTTTGGCAAGAACACTACATAGGTAATGTTCTTCTTTATGAAGCTTGTAACATCTTACATGCATTGACTTTAATTTGAAATCTTTGTTATCTACAAAAGAGGTAAAAGGCTAGTCAAATGATTTTCATTACATAAGGGCAAAGACAACAATTGACATAATTCTATGTTCTAACCATAACCATAACAATTGTGTCAAACACATAACCAACCCAGAAACTCAATTCAATCATCAGTTTTATGAAAATAGTAGAATATATTGGGAAAAGGAAAACTTTTATACTATGTGCCCTTTAAGACCACAAAGTGCTTCTCACCTCCCTCCCCCAAAACCAAATCATAAAGGCATGCTCAACTTCTTAAACATCCTTTGGTGTACTAGACAGAATGGTTTCAGACTAAACCACCTGGGCTAAAGCCTGCAGATGCCATCAGGCGGTAGGTGCTTCTTTAAAAAAAAAAGTGAAGAATCTATAACTAATATTCAATAATTGGTATCTTTCAAAGATCTGAATTGTTAAGAAAGTTTTAATCTGAGAAATCCAGGTAACCACAGAAAGCTATATAGTAAATGTATACATTGGTATGTATAAGGTACTAACTAGAAAAAAACAGTATCTGGAATCTCTCTGGAAAATATCTGTGACAACAAACTGCTATCAAAGATGCGACTGGTTTCTGTAAACAAATATTCTGAAAATCATAGTTTTCTCTCAGAGTGACATATGCACAGGATTTTGTTTTACTTCGAAAAATTCCTTAAATGTGATAACTAGAAACATGTACATCACTATTATTTTTAGATTTAACAATAACTCTTTTTATCATTTTAACAATGAAAGTATCCAACCAGATTGAAATTTATAACTCAAACCAATCTCTGGGAGAGTAAAGTTGGAATCTAAAGATGTTTCAGTACTCACTACCAGGGTATAACACTGAAAAAAGTGATTATTATTAAACTACTAGGGGGGAATATTCAACCTAGTTGTGCTATCACAAGCACTCCTAAGACCTCAGTTACTGTTTTCTTGATGTAATCAGAGCACAAAAAACTCTCTATTGCAAGAAGTAGAGAAGTTTTTCTGATAAAAATAATATACACTTATTAGCCTGTCACTTGCTTAATGACTGCACATTTCTTGTTGGCACCATGTAGAAAAACAGAAGAAAAGGAGTTCATTTCTGTAGTAACTAAATTTATAGTATTTTTATAAATAATAATAAAAAAATCAAGCTGTTGCCTACTCATGAAATACATTTGCTTATACTAGTTTATAATGGTGATATCAATACCAAGCAAATGGCCACAGCAGGATGGCAGGCCACGCAAACTCCAAGTTCACATACTTCCAAACACTCAAAATGCACATTTTTTGGTATGCAAGGAAGTCCAGCACTTACAGTCTTGAGTCTTATTTCATATTTATCAATTACTGTATCTCCAGGTGTTATATTCAACCAGAATTTCATAAGACCATGACCATTGTTGGCCTGACAACAGAAAAAGATGTAAGCAAATACAAGCAATGGAGAAATGAACTTAAATATTGTTGATCAGATTTTGTTTGGTAAATCTAACATCTTAGGCTTTCACAGGAAAGGAGAATGTGGTGTCCAAAGGAAACTCATGATTTGTCAGATCCTTCTAAAAACTATTTCCAGATGACTATGAACCTGTTTACCTCAATACTAGAAGATAATTTGGCAAAATTAGTAATTTAAAAAAGAAAGTGAAAAAAATCTGAACATGTCCTGCCGAAAATAATCACATTACAAATCAGATTCTACCAAAGCCACCCCAAAATATACAAAAAAGGGAAAAAAGCAAAAAATTAAAACAAAGGCTAATCAAAATTAATCAACTTCAAGAAATAAAATGCCTAAATCCTGATACCATATACTTCAACACTATGAACAAACCCATTCCTCAAAGCCATAGTAAAACATTTCTGTAAGTTTAAGTTTTGATTTTCAGTAGGGCAATAAGGTAATTTACTGAGGAAGGAATAATCTTTTTCATAAGTGGGCTGCAACAACTGGACAGCCATTTGGCCGAAAAAATAAAATAAAAAGAGCTTCAAATCTAAACTCACACCATACTTCAAAGTCATCTCAAAATGGACTATATACCTTAACACAAAAGCTAAAACTATATAACTTCTAGGGAAAAACAGAAAAGAAAATCTTTGTGACCATGTATAAGGCAAGGACTCCCTAGACAGGACAAAAAAGCATGAACACTAAAAAAAATTCATAAATTGAACATCAAAATTAAATCCCTCTGTTTTTCAAAAGACATCATTAAGAAAATGAAATGGGGATGGTAGTACAGCATGGAGAATATAGTCAGTGATTTTATAACATCTTTCTACGCTGATAGATAGTAACTGCACTAGAGTAGCCAAGGCTTTAATAATATGGGGAACTGCTGAACCACTGTGTTGCACATTTGAAACCAGTATCAGATTGTACATTAACAATACTTCAATTTAAAAAATGAAATGTAAGCCATATATTGGAAGAAAATACTTACAACACATATATCTGACAAAGGACTAGTGTCTTTATAAAAAATGTCCATAACTCAGTAAAATAAGAAAATAAACAATCTAAATATAATACACAAAAGATCTGACTAGGTACTTTACCAAAAAGTATAAATCAATGGCCTATAAACACATAAGGAAGATTCACAAGAACTCTTGTGATAATGGAAACGATCTATATATTGATAGAGGTTATTACTTACACAGATGTATAGAATTGTCAAAATTCATCTAATTGCATATTTAAGATCTATGCATTTCACTTCATAAAAATGACACCTAAAAAAATACTCCATAATGCCTAGTGTTAAAAAAGATAAACTTTGTTACTTATAACTTAGTATATTTCACAAATGCAATGAGACAATTCACATCGAATTTAACTGAACATTTTCACTTCTAGGAATATATCACCAGGAAATTGTCAAACAAGTAATATGTGTATTTGCTGCACCACTGTTTTGTTTATAATAAATAGAGAAAAACTGAGAACTTAAATGTGTATCAATAGAAAATGAATTAAGTAAGCCGTGGGGCAACTTACAATGGAATACTGCTTAGTCAATAAAAAATTATAATGGGTTATTAACATAAGATTGGTACTGACACTACATATTACTGAAACTGGAAGTCCCTATGGACCCAGCCCTTGGTACGTGGATGTCTTCGTACTTTAACAAATATAGCTAACAGTGAATATTAACTATGAATGTGGTAACAGTAACCTCACATTCCCAACTGCAGCATTAACCCGGCTCAAAGATCTGGGGCAGTAATGGCTCTACTGAAGCAATGAGTAAGATATAAAAGAGTTTCAGCAGCAACACACGACAGTAAATTAAAATGACCCGTGCTGACAGACTACTCCTAAATCTCTTTGAAGATGCAAATAAAATTTTGTCTTTAACTTTTATGGTACTTTTTCCCATCCATAGGTTTCAAAAAATTCTAAGAAATGTGTTACTTAAAATAGATTTTTTTTAAATGATACAATTTTAAGGGGTGGAGCCAAGATGGTGACGTCAGTAGAGCAGCAGAAATCTCCTCCCAAAACCACATATATTTATGAAAATATAACAAAGACAACTCTTCCCAGAATAGAGACCAGAGGACAAAGGACAACATCCAGACCACATCCACACCTGCGAGAACCCAGCGCCTCACGAAGGGGCTAAGATACAAGCCCCAGCCCGGCGGGACCCAAGTGCCCCTCCCCCCAGTTCCTGGCGAGAGGAGAGGAGTCAGAGGAGGAGGGAGAGGGAGCCGAGGACTGCTGAACACCCAGCCCCAGCCATCCGCACAAGAGAGCAGACACAGTGCATGCGTGAAGTGCTGGATACTAGGGAAACAGGGCAGCAAGACTGGTGAGCAGGTCCCTGAGGCTGGCGCTCTAATACAAAGAAAAGTGAATGGCTTTTTCTTTTTTTTTTTTGGTGAGTGCTTTTTGGAAGTCTTAACGGGACAGAGACCACAAAACCAAATGGAAGCATCCCGGAACACTTAGTCCAGAGGCAGGGAATCTGGGAATCTCTAAGCACTCAAACCGCCTGGGCAGCAGGGAGCACGGAGGCCCCTCACGGAGATAAATAGCCTCCCAGTTGCTCCGACTCCAATGCGACTCCATCATTTTGGAGCAGCAGCCTGAGGCAGACCACGCCCACAGCAACAGCGCAGATAAACTCCATAGCAGCCGGGCAGGAATGAGAAACCCTGTCTGTGCACAGCTGCCCAGCACAAGCCATTAGAGGTCGCTGTTCTCCCAGGAGAGGAAAGACAGAAACCAACAAGAAGGGAAGTTCTTCCAGCTATCACTCGTCCCAGCTCTGCAAACTATTTCTATCACCATAAAAAGGCAAAATTACAGGCAAACCAAGATCACAGAGACAACACCAGAGAAGGAGACAGACCTAACCAGTCTTCCTGAAAAAGAATTCAAAATAAATATCATAAACATGCTGACGGACATGCAGAGAAATACGCAAGAGCTAAGGGATGAAGTCCGGAGGGAGATCACAGATGCCAGGAAGGAGACTACAGAAGGGAAACAAACTCATGAAGGATTTATAAGCAGAATGGATGAGATGCAAAAGGCCATTAATGGAATACAGACCAGAGAACAGGAATGCACAGAAGCTGACACAGAAAGAGATAAAAGGAAAGAGATAAAAGGATGAAACAATATTAAGAGAACTGTGTGACCAATCCAGAAGGAACAATATCCACATTATAGGGGTATCAGGAGAAGAAGAGAGAGAAAAAGGGATAGAAAGTGTCTTTGAAGAAATAATTGCTGAAAACTTCCCCAAACTGGGGGAGGAAATAACCAAACAGACCATGGAAATACACAGAACTCCCAATAGAAAGGACCCAAGGAGGACACCACCAAGACACATAGTAATTGAAATGGCAAAGATCAAGGACAAGGAAAGAGTTTTAAAGGCAGCTAGACAAAAAGGTCACCTTTAAAGGAAAACCCATCAGGTTCTTGACAAACCTTACAGGCCAGAAGAGAATACCATGATATATCTAATGCAATGAAACAGAGGGGCCTTGAACCAAGGATACTGTATCCAGAATGATTATCATTTAAATATGATGGAGGGATTAAACAATTCCCAGACAAGCAAAAGTTGAGGGAATTTGCCTCCCACAAAGCACGTCTACAGGGCATCTTACAGGGACTGCTCTAGATGGGAGCACTCCTAAAAAGAGCACAGAACAGAACACACAACATATGAAGAATGGAGGAG